ATTTTCTTTGCTATAAACCTCACGGAGCCCAAGACCTTTCCAACGAATGCAAAACCGTGGAAATCGGTTCGTGCGTTCTCGAGTTATAGCGTCAGGGAGGAAAACCGGACTTATTTTTATATAATAGATAAATATAAAATAACTATGCTGGTCAAATAATATGTCTGGAAACCGACCTATTTTCACTGTTTAATTATTATTGATATTTATATTGTTTCAGTTTTGTTCAAAAACCTTTTGAATTATATAAGTACATCAGTTTTTACTTTCACGAATTTTATTTATATTTTTCCGATTGCTGTTTTAATTTGTAATTTCTTAGTATTCCAAATTGATTTTAACTTTCCTTCTTTTAGTTTGTGAAGGATTAATTGTTCATTTTATTTTCAATATAAAACCATTACATAGTTTTAAATTCAAAGATCTACAAATCAACAATGAAAGCACCTTTCCACAATCAAAGGTTTTTTCATCAGAATACGGATCCAAAATAGTTGTATGTACCTCAATGATTAATACATTTTAAACAATAATATCGAAAAGTTGTTGAGTATATTGATAGTAATAGTAAGGTGGTTACTGGTTAATATATGTATTATATTTGATGTAAAATATGACTGAACAAGTAAATTATGATTGAAAAAAATACAAGTGCATTACACAATGAGATTAATCTGGATATTTTGTAGATTTTCATTATTTAAATCTTAAATATAGACATCTTAAATATGGACATCAATTAGAAACTAGTTTATTTATTAATCTATATAATATATATGTTATTAATTTGTATCTAGATATCACTCAACACTGGACGTAAGTCAAGGAGTATGTACAGCTCAGCCAAGGTAAACTACTAGCTAGGTACCTAAACCAAGTAAGTGAGATAATATTAAATCGATTTTGTAAATATAATATAGCATGTATGCAATATTATTTTCGCACACTTGTTTAATAAACATAAAGCATTTTTTGTATTTATTGTAATAGTACACAGGGCCACATTTAGTCAATGATGTTACTTAAATTATGTTATATGACTAGTGTGTTTAAAAATGTTGTTTGAACAATTTTAGAACAGCTCCCTTAGAAAGCCATTATTTACAATTTTTTCAAATTACAAATTACACAAATTACAATCTGGTACTTACAAAAATGTATACAAAAAAGTCATTAAAATTTACAAATTGCACAAATTACAATTACAATCATTTTTCATATCAGAATATTAATTTATTTATTTGTTAATACATATTTAATATTAATACGTTTGCATTAAAAATGCTAAGAGATCAATTTTTTTGGATTTGTAATCAAAATATATTATTTTCATATTATTTTCATTTATTTTTCATATAATTTTGTTTTTTTAATATTTCTATTACTACTCGCAGATATATTTTTTTTTTAATTTAATTTAAATTTATTTTTCAAGAAGATAATGGGCCCCACTGAACATGTACGTGTGGGGGCTCATGAGTTCACAATTTGATATATAAATACATTAAATAGTTCTTATAAATTAAATATTTAAAATTTGTCATATACATTTCTCACATACCCAACTATAATATTAATAATATATATTTTCTTATTTTTGTTTATATAATATAGTATTATGTAAAAAATTGTGTAGTTAAATAATACATACATAGATACATATACATAGATTTGTTTTATTTGGTTGATTCGAATCAACTATACATAGTGTGGTAATAATATTATATGAAGATTTTTTCTAAGTTTAGGAATAAATTATTTTCACTGAGCCATTTTTGTAATTTACTCATGTCGGATTGAACACTAGCAAATACTTCATCCAAGGATTGGCCTTCAACGAAAAGTACTGTATCATTTGGCGTAGCAAACTATATAGTTTTCAGTGTGTATTCAAGTTATTAATTTGGTTTATATGTATATTAAACAGTATAGGCGAGATAGAGTTGTCCCTTGAGGTACACCACATATTATTGAAGTTTCTTCGCTTAATTCATTGTTTATTCGAACGTGTTGTTTTCTATATTTTAAGTATGAACTTAATACATTCTGAGCCGTTCCATTGATACCAAGTGTGTTAACATTTTGTAGTAATATTTTATAATCTATAGTATCAAATGCTTTTGCTAGATCCAAGTAAACAGTTGCACATTTTTTTTATTGTCGATAGAATTATAAATATAGATTGATACTGTTGCAATTGCTTGTTCGGTACTTTTACCGGGTCTAAATTCGAATTGGGTACATGATAGAAGATTATTACCTTCAAAGTAATGGACTAATTCTTTTTTAAAAATTTTTTCAATAGATTTGGCAAGCTTTTATATATTTTGTAAGATTGGGCGATAATTTTCAATATTAGATTTGTCACCTTTATTTTGTGTATTTGTGTTATTACTGAAATTTTAAAGCATTCCGGAATATTAGATGTTGTTATAGCTAAATTTAAAATGTATGATAATGGTTTAATCAATGAATATATATTTAATTTGAGCAGTTTTACTGAAATTTCATCATTTTCTTTCTTTATTTTAAATTAATTTATTTTTAAATCAGTATTGACTAGAATTTCCATTAGTATTTGAATATGTCAGTGAATGTGATGGTGGGAGGTATCACATTTGCTATTGAAACGCATGTGAACGTTTTCAGCACAGTTCGTTGTTCTTGGGCTATTGTCTGGTTCACAAGCCCATAATTCTGGCCTAAAATCAATATCAGAATCATTATGATTTTTTAATATATAGTCTGGAAAATCCATACTTACATTATTGGTAGGAGCTATTGAAATTATTTCAGTAAATGCATCCGAAACCTCTTTAGAGTTTAAATAAGGTAAACCGATAATGTGTTTAATAGCTACCTTCCAATTTCAGAATAATTTTCGAGTATTCTTTTAATAGTACTTTATTTTTTTTCAAACTAATGAATCAAATATGTCTTTTATCAATTGACGGGTGCTCAATTGATATAAATAATACTGATCGTGTACCTGCAGCTTAAGACAACCTGTACACCTTAAACTGTACCTACCAGCTGGTTGTCATTGTTCACTATTTTGTGCGCAAACGAGTTGTCGTAAATTTAAAATATATTTTATTATGTTCGCAAAGGAGTTTCCACCCAATAAATACAACTGCCCCAGTGCCAAAATGTTATGTATGAAAATTTGATCGCTTTTTATTTATTTTAATTAAAAAAAAAAATTATTATTTTAAAATGATTTATTATATTAATAAATAATCATCTACCTATTATGCCATTTGACATTTAAACAACTAATTTTAAACGTATCAGCTATCGAGAATTATTATTACACCTAATAATATTTCGTTTTCCCAAATTCATTGTGCTTCAATACACATAAGTTATTTAAAAAATGCTCTTAACTTTGCACTATACACCACAAGGACGTCATTTCAACTTAACTTATTGAAAGATATGCTAAAAACGATGAAGGCTAGTTGATATTGTACTTACTAGGTATAGAGTTATTACACAGAATGTATTTTTTCGCTACGCTCGATAATTATTAGTCTTTATATTTTCCATCTAATAATCTAATATTTTATGCATATTGTATACTCAATAATACTAAGCTAATACTTAAATTATTTTAATTTAAGTTTAAATATTTATAGGCATTCGTGTATCTAAAAACAATGGATATAAAACAAATCCTGAAATACTCAGTCATACATAAAATATTTAATATAACGAAAACATTTTTATATTTCATTTAAATAATGCATTAATAATAATATCACATTGAATAAAAGTGGCCGATACGTAAGACCAATTAAAAATAAAAGTTTCCCGACAGAAAAATTATATAGTCAGGCCAAAATGCAATCTTGATACATTTTAGGTACTTATGTATATTTAAGCATACCCTGCGACATATTAAAAAAGTACTGTTCACGGCCCATCGCCTTTGTATTATTCTTGATTTTTTTCTGCTTTCATAAGTTTGAAATTATGCGTTAAACTTTGGACCGTATATACTTCTTAGTACTTTTCTTTCGAAGGTCATTCACCGTTGGCTGTCTCCTTTGGTCAGTGATCATGTTTCGATCGTATATGTGATTATTGGTCTTAAATGGCTATGATACAATAGTGTCTTTGAGTTTTGTGGCTCTGTGAAAGCAGTTTTGATTTAAGAAGTTTAATTTTGCTATAGTAGCACCGATGGCCGCATATTATTTGATAGGTGATTTATTCGTATCTGTCCTTGTTGCTATTTATGATAATGCTTATTTACTGAAATACTTCCACTTTCTTGAAATTTAAATCATTTAATGTTATAATATGGTCTATGTTTGAGCTTCTCTTGCTACCATTAAATATTTCGTCTTTTCCCCATTTACACGTATCCCTGTATTACTTAGCCCCATAATTTTACTTGCTAAGAGTCTGGACAAGTATTTTTGACTTCAATTCGTCATCTGCTTACGCCAATATTACTCGTTCACTACATAATATTTCCATTTTTCGAACATCCCATACTTCTATCATTTAATTTTCTAATGGTTGATTCAGTAGAGTGGTTGTAAAGCATTAACTTTGTAGAAGACCTGACTTTACCTCAAATGTTTCAGACATTTCCTGCAGGAGGCGAACTACTCATACATTTTTATTGTTACATCCTTTTGTAAGACTTACTTACTTGTTAGCAATGCCTAGTTCTACCAGTGCTTCTCATAGTTTGTCAATTCAGTCATAAGCTTTTTTATAGTCTACAAAGATTCTTAATCAAATTTCAGTTTTCAGTTGCAGTTCTATATCAAATTTATAACATGTAGCCATTATCTGTCTCAGTATAACAATATGGTCCAATGTCGATCTACGTTTTCTAAAACCGCTTTGACATTCCCCGACTATTTCAATTATGTATTTTCCGTTTGTGGTTTGATGTTTCATAGAAAAGCATACATTTCCCATAAAATCTTCGATAATTTCTATGTAAATATTGGGATTGCGCCGATGACATCCTAGAGGGCCTGATGAGCGGTTTGATAACGAAGTGTAGTTCTTTGACGCACCTGTGGTTTGTTACGACGTGCACGTCGTTGACGTACGTGCGGTTCGCTGACGACGTGCCGTTCTCTGCGTTAACGGGCGGTTCGCTGACGACGTGCGGTTCGCTGACGACGTGCGGTGCGCTGACGACGTGTGGTTCGCTGACGACGTGCGGTTCGCTGACGTAACGTGTGGTTTGCCAACGACGCATGCAAGCCCGGATTAAGGATCGATTGGGCCCCGGGACACCTATACACTTAGTGGGCACCCTTTCAACTTTAAATTAAAAATAATTGTATCATTACATATTAACGAATTTATATTACCGTATAATTTTTTACTATACAACAAATATACAGGGTGTATCATATGTCATTGAACGTGTTTTTTTTAACAATTATGAATCAATGATATGGAATTTCCTTAAAACAAAAAAAGACGTGTTTCTTTATTTTTAACAAGCAATTTTTTCACAAAATTTTCAACATTTATAAACACGCAGTTGTATCAATAATAAAATCGACTTTATTTTTTCAAATGGTAACCACTACATTTTTCGATGGATTCTGGTAAAACTTTTTTCTGAATATTTTGACAGTAAAATGATAAATTTTGGTTCGTTAGGTTAGGTTAGACTATGGTTCTTTAAAGTTTAGTTTAATATGCATTAATACTTGTAACTGAAATACCTAATTTATTAAGAGTTAAATATTTTTTTTCTTAGAACTACCTTTTTGTATACTTAAATAGTTAAATCGGTAATCTAAAATGCTCGAAAAAAAAAAAAAAAAACATATTTGTTGGCAAACATCATAGTTCATTATTTATAGTAACTTTTCGTGGTATAAAACGGAGAACAATTTTATTTTATAATTTTATTATTAATAATAATTTACCTACTATACTTACCTACTTCAATAATTTTTTTTTTTTTTTGAAAACTGTATTTGACGCCTTAAAAAAAATATATATTGGGGAAACAGATGGGCCCCCAAAACCAATGGGCCCTGATACCGTGCCCCCCTTGACCCCCCTCCCATAATCCGGGATTGGACACACGGTGCGCTGCAGCCGACTTCGTGCGGTTCGCTGACGACATGCGGTTCGCTGCGTAACTGGCGGTTCGCTGACGACGTGCGGATCGCTGACGACGTGCCGTTGCGCTCAGGACGTTCGGTTCGCTGACGACGTATGGTGCCTTGACGACGTGTGGTTCGATGACGACGCGCAGTGCGCTAAAGAAGTGTGGTTCATTGACAACCTGTGATTCGAGTGATAATTTATACATTTTCCATTAGAGGCTAGATATTCCCATTAGGTGCTTAATATTTCACACTTTCACAGACAAGCTATTTATTATAAAATCATTCATTTCACACATACAACTTACTGTAAAAGATTTTCTTAAAATGTGGACTATGCCTACCGGGGACACCACAATAAAAAAAACGCGCCACGTATAATACCTCTTGCGTTTAAACAACATGGACGATGTAATGTCTTACGTTTAACAAGCAAATGGTGGTGTGGAAATTTATGCACATCTTTGTCATCATGAATCGTGTGATACTTATAGTTGCAATAAATAATTGCAGAGACTTATTACATATATAAAAGTGATCTTAGTTTAAAATAATTTGGATTTAGAGATAATGTGGGATTCTAGGAAGAAATTTCACACTTTTCTAACTTTGTGAAGTGTTAGACAAAGAAAATGGATGATAATTTAGTTGTAGATTTAGATGAAAATTTTTCGCTGTGCATCGTCTCCGTACTATTCAATTTATTTTAATATTATTTAATTTAAGAATTTCGTTACTTTCTCATTTATTCCATATTTTTTTTCCATTTCAGGCTAGATATTTCCTCGAAACAGGTGTTATGCTTATTTTATGATATGTTTCGAACAGTTATTATTTAAAATGGTTGTAGGACACGTTGTACGGTCACCTAGAAAAAATTAAAACCGTGGACAGTTTGTTAGGTACTAGGTAGTAACAACACACAGTATGGAGGACAGTTTGTACTATTTGAGGTACCTAGATATAAGAGTGTATTTTTCAAATGAAAAAAAAAAGATACAAGTGCGTATATATAGTACTGATATCACATTATCACATAATTTGTTATTACGAAACCCATGTAGTTAACAGACATAAATAATAATAATAACAATAATAATAATAGTTATGATAGTAAATTTGTAGTATCTATACAGCTTCATGAATTTTTAAAAAAATGCACTGTCAATTATAAGTCATACATCATAATATATAAATTTAAAAATAAAAATAATAAGAATAAGAATAAGAATAATAGTTAATAGAATATTTAAAAATTAAAAGTATGGCAAATTATTTCAAGTTGTTGTGTACCTATTTGTAATTATTTTATTTTCGTGCTGTGTACAGGCTTCGTGGATTGTGTTTTGTGTATTTTGGTTTTTTTTCTTATATTTTTGTTTAAATGACTAGCACATTCGTCCAATTGCCCTTCAGGAATCCAAAAGCTGATATACTTTTATAATAAACAATATTCAATTTAAAATATCAATCAATTGTAGTTTTATAAAAACCAAATAATAAGTAATATAGTCGTGCTAAATTTTAGTATCGTGAATTGACTCGTTGTAGTAGCTGATAATCTTCGTGTAGTTTGTGTGTAATGACCGGTGCATAAGCGGCTCGCTCGGTCTCGACGGCTCTGGTACATCTAATGTGTATTGGAGCCCTGGCTTCTATATATACGGAGGCGGAGTCCTTTGAATTGAGCGGCTCGTGGCATGTAGGTGCCCTTGGTAGGTTGTAGTGGTTTGGAGCGTCTATTCTAGCTATGACCACTTTTGGGTGCGGTCGACGGGGCCACCTTTCACATAAGTGGTTCTTGTTATTTTGAGCGTTTACATGAATTGCGTAATCCCATTACAGAATTTAACTTTGTATTTGGTTGTGGTTCATATTGTATATTGTACAGAGAGTAGGGGTTGTGTGTGGAGTGTATTGTGTCACTAAACTTATGTCTCATAGGTACTGACATGGGCGTAGCGAGTATGGGGCAGGGGTGGGCAAGTGCCCCCCCCTGCACTACAAACTAAATTGTATTTCTTATATCACACGTGTAAGTTTTACGTTAAAATTGAAATATTAAATATGATATAAGTACATGAAGTCTAAAAATAGTTTAGTGGGACCGAGTGATATCTACACGTGTAATCGTTTTATATTTTATCGATTAGCCTATCTAAAGAAAATTATGAAGAATTATGAGAATTATGAGAATTATGAGTTAAACGCTAATCGTTATGTGCTTTATACATTAATATCAACAGCGATAGTGTCAACAATCAAGTGCAGCAGACAGCAGTACGTGCCGTTCTGTGTTCGCGTAAGTAACGAATATAATATATAACGTTTACATTTAATATTATTTTACACGATGGACATAAGAAAGTTTTTTGGTGGTAAGTACATATCTTGTTTTAGAATTATAAATAGTTACAAAGTAAAATAAATAAGTACAAAGTCTTTTACTTATATAATATATACACTATGTATTGTGACCGCCGCCTGCCGCAACTATGATATATTAAGAGGACGCTATACCCGCATGCGTTGTCTTCGTCTTACAAGCATACAATATAGCGAAAAACTGTTTTGCGCGGGACAAAACCACTCCCTTGGTATTTATAGTAGAATTACCAAAATTCCACAATACATAGGAAACAACTTTTTCTGTGTCATAGCGCATATTTTATGTTTATAATTTATTATTAATAAATTATCAACAACAAACAAATTTTTAATGCATTATTTCATAAGTCTTCGTAATTTTTAAGGTCGAGAAAAGAGAAAATTGCCAGAAATAAGTAGTAGCGGAAGTGATGAACATGAAGGAATATATAAAATTTTTGAGATAATTGTACATGCTTTAGATAAATTGTCAAAAAATGGGAACACTGCAACAAGAAAAGTTGCTTTTCAATTGTATGCTGTAGCAAATAAAAGTATTTTTATAATGAGTGTTATCCTCATAGCAAAATACTCTAAATTATTAGAGCCTGTTGTGAATGCTTTACAATCAAAAAATCTGGATTTGCTGAAATGCTCAAATTTTATAAAAAAAATAGTAGTCATAGTGAAAGATCACCGCGAACACACTGACACAGAAATTCAAGAATTATTAACTGCTGCAAACATAGCAGCTGAGAATATAGGAGCAGAAATTAATCTTCCTAGGATTGTTAAACAACAACAACATCGTTCGAATCCTCCAGCGTTAAATTCGGCTGAATTCTGGAAGAGATCATTACTAATTCCATACTTGGATTCATTAATATCCTCATTGGAACGGAGATTTTCTGATGAAAACATACCTGCTTTTTCACTTTTATTATTACACCCTTCAAATATGTTAGATATGAACACCAAAGAATTTAAACTTAAAATAAATGATTTTGCCAATTATTACCAAATTAAAGGCTTGGAAAGTGAAGCAGAATTATGGTACAACATCTGGAAGGAGAAAAAACTGGCTAAAAGCAAACTATCAGACATGGAAATGAGTGAAGTAGTAGAAGAAACAGATATTTTCTTTCCTAAAATAAAACAAGCCTTGCATATTTCTTTAGCTCAGCCATGTACAACTAGCACTATTGAGAGGTCATTCAGTACGTTAAGAAGGGTAAAGACTTGGTTGCGTTCAACGATGACGGAAAACCGTCTGAATGGTAAATCAAAATAGTTTTTTTATATCAATACTAATTAATAATTATATTAATATTAATCATATACAATGTAAATTATTTTAGGTCTATGCATACTAAGTGTGCATAGAAAGCTGCTAGATGAAAAAAAGGAAGAGATGCAACAGAAAATTCTCAGCAGATTTTGCGAAGACTCTAGACGATTATCATTGTTATAATTTAAAAATAATGATTAATGAATAATATATTATAAATAAATACTTTAAAAAAAAATTGAGTTTTAATGATTTAAAGTTGGCTACATCACTGCCCCCCCCTGATTGAAATCCTAGCTACGCCTATGGGTACTGATTGCGATCACGATTCGCGATTTAAAATTTTGAGCAATTCAATTTTATCTGATCTCCCGACTTTATTGATTCCCGGTTTATTTATATGGTACAAAGTGTCCGCAATTGATTTTTATCAATTTATTTTCACCGTACA